CAGGCGGCCATGCCGCGGACAAGTCCATACACTTCTCGATCCAATCGAAGAAGACTCCCCGGCGGTACTCTAAGTGACTCCAGATATCCGCCAGGTGGTGGCTCGGGGTAGGGTGGCTTGGTCCTCTTGCTAGGGTCCCTCGCATGAATGCGGCAGTGACGCCACCGACATTGGCCTCGAACCTCCTCGACCATATCGCCTGCGTGGCGATGCGAAGTGCAACCAATTGTGGCGTTGGACAACTCCGCTCTATATCCATGATATCGGGGTCTTTGAAACCATGTGCCACCCATCTTGCCTTGGCTGCCGCGCCCTGCTCGGTTGGCTTCCACCGTAGTAGTATCCTGCTGGTGATGATCCGCTCGCCTTTGTCCCACCTGATCTTCTCAGCTTCAGCTGGCGTAGTGATCGCGGCGGCCTTGATGCCGACAACTGCATTCCACTCCTTCGCAACGGCTGCAGTGAACTGTGGCCAGTCGTCATCGCTGATCGCTTTGTGCTTGAGCTCTGCCGCCTCGGACGCGGCCTTCGCGATGTAGAAGTTACCTCGGTAACTGAGACAAGCCCACGAACCCTGAAAACTGAACGCTACGTGCTTGTCATTGTTGAAGCCAGTAACTGGTCTCCACGGCCCACTTTCCAAACATCGGCAGTTCTACGCCTCACCCATCGCAATGAAGTCGCTCATCTCTGCGTCAGCGTCGTTCGTGTAGGCGCCGTTCGTGAAGTCGCAGACCTCCATGAGCAATTCGTCGGGATCCGGCTGCTGCCAGAAGACGCTCGGCTCGGTAAACCCGGGCGGTGCCGGCCATGGTGTTCTCGTACCTGCGGCGGTACGTCCTGAATTTGAAGATGGCAATCGATGCCGGTCCATCTCCACGTCGTCGTGCCTCGGCCTGCTCCGAGGCGGTTCACTTGTAGCTTCATCTTCTGCCTTGACGACGGTTCCACGACGGGAATCTCCATCGCTCGACGCCGGTGCCCCAGGTTCGCTTCCTGGTTGAGCGCTGCTCTGTCGCGGAGCTCCTCCTTCTCCTTCGACGTCATCTGGTGGTGGTGCTTGTTGCGGTGGATCCGCGTCGACGACCTCGTCATCCTGTGGCGGCTCGCCTTCGCCGCTGATGCCCCTGAAGCCCCGCTGCCGGTGCGCTGCGTCGAGCTTCTCCTCGGGCTCGGGGAGCAACTCGTTGACGATCTCTGCTCCCAAGCTCTCCCCATTAGTAGCGGCTCTGACCTGAATCTTCGCGCGCTTGAAGAGCACTCCACGCGTGTATGCGAAAACGGTAGAACCATTCTGAATAATGGAGATGACCGTGGCTGGTCCACTCCAACCCACCTTGTAGTCGATGCTTCCGTCATGTTGCCGGACTGAAAGTCGCCTCCACGTGAAAACTACCTCGCCATCCTTGAGTGCCGCCTGCTCCTTCCGCATCCTGCTCTTGCGTGCCTTCTGCAGCGTCTGCTGGTCGCTGAGACTGACTGCTGACTGCATTGCGGCCTGCCTCATAGCCTGAGCTCGCCGGTGCTCAACTGACGGCGTGGCGCTGAGCATCTCCGGACTAATAACGTCGTCGCTGAGCACACATCATGGGAATAGCAAATCCTCGCCAAACGCTCGCTGAGCTGGGCTGTAACCACCCCTGCACGTGAACCTAGTTTCGCCTGGGTAACGAAATCGGCCAACATATCCACCTCCGACGTGTTGTTGCACTGCTCGATGGACTCGGACTTCTGAAAGATGCTCTTCCACCATCCTCCGCGGCGCTCGGTCTTGCCATCTTCCCATGGAGACCTCGCGTTGATGACGTGCACGAGGGTGGCGTACTCGCGAGCTCTGTCCTGGAACTCGGCCTTGAACTCCGTACCCTGATCCAAGACGAGAATGTGTGGTGGTCCGTAGTGACGATGCCATGTCCGTTGAACTGCCTCCCAGGTAGCCTGAGCTGTAGTAAGTCCAGCGACGCGCTCCACGATCTAGTAATTGGTGCCCCAGCATGTGGTATGTACAAAGGTAAACTCCAAACCAAGTACCGTCTTGACTGTAAACGTATCGCGGCCGACAACATAGTTTAACCGAAACGAACGCAAAGCCGCTGCCAGCGGCTGTGCCCTAGGACGTTTGTTGGATTCGGCAGCCGGGCAAACGAAATGACGCCATGCCCGACGGAAAATTGAATTGCGAACCCGTCCGTGCCGAAGAACCCGTATGAAATCACGCAGTTCCGGATCACCCATATTATTGTGAGCTTGTAAAAGTAACCGTTGTTGGAGAGGCGATGGTTTCTCCATGGTTTCGGTGCCCGGTGTATATTCGACTCCGTCTTGTTGTAAGCTAGGTTCTCCGAAATCGGGTCCGAGGCTGACGCCCTCCGCCGCGCCCTCCATCTCCTCGTCGATCGTCTCGAGCGCGGGGTACACTCCGATGCTTATCTGGTCCTCGGCGATAGACTGCATGAATCCGTCGACCACCTGCGGCGCGTAGTCCACGGCTAGCTTGGCAACTGTGTTCGGGCATTGGTTAACGGGCGAAGAACGGTATAAAATAAACTTCTTCGCTGCCGGGGGCGCCTGTCCCTGGGCGGCTGGAAAGTTTATACCCTTACGGCGGCGCCGTAGGGGTATAAACTTTCCAGCCGCCCTGGGGCAGGCGCCCCCGACAGCGAAACAAATATTTTATAGCGTGCTTCGCCCGTTGAATCGGAAGAAACACGGCTGGTCATCGGCTTCGTTGGTGTTGATGCTGGTGCGCTTGATGGACTTGGCCATCTGAGAATGCTTAACTGGGCCCCTGAGAACCGCGTTGCAGAACTGCGGCGTGCATTCCTGCGCAAGCCTGGTGTACTTGCTGCCCGCGAGCTGGTCGTGGTCGGCACTGCGGTGAATGCAACGTCTGAAAACGGCCTTGAGAACCTCAGTGCTGTTGCTGCGGGTGCCGGTCGGCTTACGGTTGAGCACCCCCCCGTCGACGTGCAAGTTGAACTCGCACATGTCGGTGTTGATCCAGCCGACCCCGTCGGCGTCGTTCAGGTCCTGGATGCACGGCGCGCCCCGCGATGGTGCGCAGGCTGGTTGTTCAGATGGATATAGCCCCCCTCGTTCGCGTTGTTCTCGAGCGAGCGCCGCGCAGAACTCCGTTGAAGACCTTCGCGTTCATCACTGCTAACGATATCCTGGTCGCGCTCGTAGTTTGACAGGTCTTTGACGCGGCTCCGCGCCTTGCGCGGCGGGCTGAGGGTGATGGGCAGCGGCCGCTCCCTCTCGATGATATCTCGCGCCCTTCTGCGATCTGCGCCCAGCGTGAAGTCGAATTCGGCAGTCAGGTCCATGGCGCTTTCAGGTTGGAGCCCACGTCGGTTACAGTGTTGCGCGACACGAGGTTGGCTGTAGATATCCGTGACGTCAGCGCCCTTCATGGATAGCTTCCCCGGGCTTCGTCGTCATTCTCGCCGAAGTCCCCTGGAAATGACTGCCTGCTCGTCGCCATCAAACAAGACGCTCGTGATGGCCCCGCTCCGCGCCTCGATGATGTCAACGCGGTCAGTCGCGTCGTCCTCGCGGTCCTTCCTCTGTGATGTAGTCGACCCGATCCGTGAACCTGTTCGTGTGCCCACTGCCGATCCGGCCGCCAAAGAGGTCGCCAGTCGCGACGCTGTTCGCATTGACTGGCGTCGCGATGATTGCGACATCCGTCTCGTTCTGGTCGTCTATTCGTCCGACGTAGAGCGACCCCCCATTCGCGTGTCCTCGTCGCTCGACGAAATGGCGATCACTTTCGCCTTCTCGAATCCCTCTGGCGTGATCTCCTTTGTCTCCTCGCAAGCCCGTGCCGCGCGCAGGTGCACGTTCTTCTTCTCGTAGCGGTCGCATGCCCTCTCCATGGGTGCCCCGTGGACTGGGCATGGTGGAACCTCCACCTTCACTGGGAACTCCATCTTCACCGTTGTCGAACCAGGCTCGACCTTGACCGTCTTGCCGCATTGAGGGACTCGTTCCCATCGGGCCCCGCACTTCACGCGCACCTCGTAGCAACCCTTGCGGTTGCCCTCCGGGGGAGAGAACTCGTCTGGATTATCGCACTCCTCCGGCATGCAGCTCGGTTTGATACCCTTGCGCTTGGTGTCGGGGAGACGCTTGCCCATCGTGTAAGACGCGCGGGATCCCTTGTCGGTGGACGACCCAGCCCCCTTCCGACGCACAGCGAAAGGTTTGACCTGCTCCTGGGCGCCAGCGACGCGCATGAGAACCGAGCACAAGGACTGGGAGAAAGCAGCTTCGATGACCATAATGGATCTTCGCAGAATCCGATACCATGCTGCCATGGCCCACCTCTTTCGGCCTCGACCCTTCCCGCGATCTAACACTGGGTCCTCGGACTGGCCGAGAGCCTGGCCCACGAGACTCGTCATCAAGCGCCGTAGTGAATATGGATGCCTCCGCCAACTTCGGAGGACTGGGCTGCGCAGATAAAAATCGCTGTCGGCCTCTGCCGAGAAACTTCAAATTGAACGCAAATGGCTCTGAGAGGTCGCAACCATAGGCTCCGGAGGGCCCTCTTTGGATTCTTCTTGGGTGCCTTCGTCTGGGATGATTGTGAGCGTGTTCGCTGTGTGCTTGTTGTGGCCCCCCTGTGCCCCTGCTTGCTATCGTTGCGTTTGCCTGCTCCTCTGTTGCCGCGGTTGTGCTCTGTGATGCTGTAGATGATGTCTTACCTGCTGTTGATGCGATTTGGATTGCCGCAGTCTCGCTCTGCGATGCTGTAGGCGCTGTCTGCGACGCGGTAGCTGGCGACGCTGATGTCGTCGAAGTCGGCGGTGGCAACAATGTCGGCGGTGGCGGAGGTGATGGCGACATGTCCGCAACAGCCGTTGACGCTCTCTCTTCCTTTTCAGTCTCTGGTTCGCGCTATCCACCGGGCGCGAACTCTCTGTCCGATGGCCGCGTGGCCATTCTGTCCGATGGTCCGCAGCTTTGTGCCAGCGCCGAACATGTGGAAAAAAGACTTGGTCGCCAGATCCGCGCAGCTTGAGATCCATCTCCAGCGCTCTGATGAGACCGACTGGGATCAGCGCGGGCACCTCCTCATCAACAACGCAGAATGATAGAATGCCGCTCGCGCCTGCGATGCCCACTGGCACCTCCGCGCGGCCAGTGAACTCAGCGTCGCCTCCGATGCCTCGAGGAGGGGGTCCGTCGTCTGGCGCCCACCGCGGCTGTAAGTTGAACTCCTTCAGCTTGAGAACTAGACCCTTCAGCTGCTCCGCGCCGATGATGCCCTCCTGAACGCCCGCGTCCACGAGAACCCCCCGCGCATTGATGGCGAGGCCGATGAACATGGCGATCGCTCCGACGAAGAACTTCGCAGCACCTCCGGTCGTAGATTCAGCTGGCCTCGGCATATTGATATGGTGCGTCTGGCTGCTACCGACTGCTGCATGCATAGTGAACGCTTCAAGGGCCAGTCGCTGTTGATGTCCGTTCTGTGGGCACGCTCGCGCCCAGTGACCAACCTGCTTGCACTTGGCGCACTTCGTCCTGAGCTTGAGCTGATCGATCGAGATGCGCCTGCGCTGGTTCTGCTTGCCGCTGCCCTTGCCCTTGTCCTGTCCATGACCATGCTTGCCTTTACTCTTGCCTTTCGGCTTGAAGAAACCTCTGGCCTTTCGCGCCTCATTCAACTGGTTCCGGACCTGCTTGCGCTCGACCAGGTAGCTCATCGCCGGCCGCATGTCCAACAATGCCCATGGCAGGTCCTCTTCTCCGATCACGCCGTCGAGCCACTCAGCATCTATGTAGTACGCGCCTGCGATCGCCTCTGAACCCGAGATTTGCAGCGTGCCCTCGCCGTCGTCACAGCCGTCATCCTCGTGTCCGATCACCTCGATGGCGAACGCCCCTAGCTCGTCGGACTTGTCCGTCGTGGCCATGTCGATAGGCGGCGGCGGGGGTGCTGGGCACTGGGTTCTCCACAGAACGAAAACGAAACCAATCCTGTCGTCGGTCGCGGTAGTCCAGCTCGTCTGTCGGGGCGGTCCAGTCTGATGAGCGCCTTCGCGATCTGCTCGAAATTATTTCCACCATCGGTCCAACCAATCACCTTATCATAGGACCTCTCATCAAGCCTCGCGAACCGTAGTGTACTGTAGCTCTTGAACGTGTCTGGCAGCATAACCTTCAACCTCTCGAGTGTAATGAACTCGAGCCTGCGTCTATTCACAAACGTCGTAAACCTTTCCTTCTTAGGGTCGCGAACACACGTGTAGAGAGCTGTCCCCAGCGCCTCGGGAATCTCGTCTTCCTTCAAGTGCTGAAACGCATTGTCCAGGGCCTGCAGGGTCAGCTCTCGACCGCATGCATGCCCGTCAGCAACGATCTCCTCGCATGCAAGTCGGGCCATACCTCGCATTTCCTGAGAACCACACCGCCGATCTTCTTCTCCTCTAATGTTGTGTTGGCCTGCCATATCAGCAGGTCTCGTATGTAGCGTCGATCGAAATCTTCGTCAGTCGGTTCTGTGAATAGTGGCGGTGGATCCCGATCCACTCGAGTTGAAACTCTGGTCGGCTCTCCATCTTTTCATTCCCAGGTTATCTTTGAGCCCCGGGCGGCATGGCGGCAGCAATATGAAGTTTGAAACTGTAGCTGTGCTAAAGTGTCTTCTGAAAAGGAAACTGTAGCGGGTGCGCAGCTACCGTGGGGAGAACCACGGCTCCGCTGCCAACTGAGAAATCTATATCGGAAATCGAATCGCACTTTTTTCCACTGCGCAACAATATGACCCAAACCGGCTACGGAACGAAACGCCAATCCGTGTCGAAACGACAGTGGCCAACATAGACCTGCATACAATCATTAGGCCGCAGGAGCACTAAAATCACATTGGTGCTTCTTGGGGCCTCCTGGGGCCTCCTGAGGTTTCCTGTGGTTTCCTGAGGCCTCTTGCGGCACTCCCGGGGCTCCCGCTCGAGGCATCCTGACACCTTGCTCAGGAACGAGGCTCCCGCTCGAGACCCATTTGAGATTCAAGCTCCCAGGTGCCACCATGTTTTGTTCTGACAGGGTACGCCGATGACCGCCTCATAGTAGCAACACGACTCGGGGGCCTTACATGGAGGGGGTTCCCGCCCTATACTTCCTCGCAGATTACTCACTGGCGAACGCCCGAAACATCCTCGCAAGGAGCCCAGAAAACGATGCTCCCGCTTAAGACCTCTTCTAAATTCAAGCTGCCAGCAGTCACCAGATCTGAATCTTCCCAAATCCAAAATGGTGCTCTTGTTTTCTCTCGACAGCCCGTGCAATCCTCACACCTCCTCCCTCCCCTCCCCTCCTCCTCTCACGCTCACACGTGCCATCACCACCACCACGACCATCACCCACCCACCCACCCACCCACCACCATCATCATCATCATCATCATCATCATCATCATCATCATCATCATCATCATCATCACCATCGTCACCATTACTACTCCAATCCCATCATGACCGTCGATCGGCATCAACATCACCAGCAGCAGCAACAACACCATCATCACCATTACCGCACACATTCACACACTTACTCACACACTCGAGGGCCCACCAAGAGGAATGCATACACACCATGCCCACCTTTCAAGACCACACCACGACTATCACTGTCTCATCATTGCCTATAACCGTTATCACCACCATCATCATCATCGCCACCGTCCCAGGCGAAACCTGAATCCCACCAGCCCTCTGGGCGTCGGTGGTTTAAGGAGTTTCCTCTTCCACCCCTCCTTCTTCCCCTTCGGGGAGGGGTTTACCCCTCCCCCTACCCCCTCCCCGCTGACCTGGACAGGGGGTTCCGCGGCGCGTTGGAGTGTCCAAAACGGCCTCGGCGAGGAAGCCAAAATCATTGATTTTACTATGGTTTGGGCCCCATTTTGGCCTTCTGAGGGGGGGGCTGAAATTTAGGAACCACCCTTCTTTGATCGATTTCCTCCACGATGGCCGCAAGAGGCCCCCAGGATGCCCCAAGAGGCCGCAGGATGGCCCCAAAATGGCCCCAAGAGGCCCCCCAAGAGGCCCCCAGGAGGCCCCCAAGAGACCCCCAAGAGGCCCCACGAGACCCCCCAGAGGCACCCAAGGTGCTCCCAGAGGCCCCAAGATGGCCCCAAGAGGCCCCAAGAGGCCCCCAGGAGGCCCCAAAGAGGATTCCGAACGGCCCACAGAGGCCCCCCCGAGGCACCCAAGACGCCGAAAAGCCCCTCAGGACGACCCTCTACTCGCCTGGGCGTCGTTTCTGGACGGGCTGGTGGGGATACGCGAAGCGTCTAGAATTTATGCTTAGGATGCGTAGGGGTCATAGCTTCGCCTCTAACATCGTCGACAAACACAATAGGGTGGAAACAAATGTGTGGACGATGCCCCAAGCGAAATCTGGATTTTTATAAACTCATATTTTTGTGTTGGGGGGCGAACCTTCTGGGCCGGAGAACCGCCAGTCCACATACGGAATCAACCAAGGCCTAACAATGCCCAGACCCGAAGAAAGTCCGGCCAGAAGAAAAAAACAACCTGGAGGAATTCAAAACAAACAGCCAGGTACCGCCTGGGACATCGGCCAACAACTTGCTTCCGTTCACCGATGTCCCAAGCAGAACCTTGACTTCTATGCCTTTGTACTACAAACTCATGCTTGGCCTGTGACATCAGCGAAACAGCCATAGGGTGGAAGCGAGATGTCCGACGATGTCCCAAGCGAAACCTGGATCTCTAGTAAATCCTGAAACTTGTTTAAGGGGGCGAACTTTCTCTGGGCCTGGGAATCCCCAGCCCACAGATGGAACCCATCAGAGAATCCGCCGCATAAGGAATCAATCCGTAAATCCTCCAATTGGGGACTTAACAAGTCCATCCTCCATATAAGGATGTACGCGGTAGGAGAAAAAGGAGGAGTAGGCAGCTGGGGGCAGGAGGATATTCACAGGTAAGCTATACAGGTCCGCCAGTGACAATAATTACAAGGTGCGCCGCCTCGGATTGATAACATGAAGTGGGGGGCCCGTAAGAAGGGGGCTCCTGCTTGATACCTCCTCGCAACTGACTCACGGACGAGGCTCCCGCTCGAGGCTAACTCGAGATGTGTGTGTGTGTGTGTGTGTGTGTGTGTGTGTGTCTCGCTCTGCTTGCCTTTGTTCTGCGCCTGCATTTTCACGAATACAACTCGGGCAATGCCCCTCTGGACCACCTGCGGTGCGATCGTAGGGTTGTCTCGAAACTGGCATGCACCATCCACCCCATGCCTGGGTGCAACACTGGCAACGTCTGCCTCGGGGTTTGGTGGCAAGCCTTCCTGCGCTTCGTCGTGCTCGGACCAAACCGTGCGCGCACAGTCCTTGGTACTCGAATTCGGCGCCTCACCATCTCCCGGCGTGGTGGGGGCTGGCACGACACTCGTTCCAGGGTCGCCCCTATAGGCGACGATCGATACATCCCGTCCCTCCTGAGAGAAACCACCTTCTCGTGCCCACTGTGCACAGTGTTGGCGGCGCGCACGAGGGGGTAGGGGGAGGGTGGGAGGCTTATTAGAAGGAGCCTGCTTCTTGGAAGGCGTGGGCCTTACATCTACAGATGGGGCCCGCGCCTTCGAAGGAGCAGGGGTGCTTCTAAGAAGCCTTCCCCCCTCTCCCTGCCCCCCTCTGCGCGTGGCCGAGAGAGGGCACACCGCCCTCGATGTCCATGCGCTCCGCTACCTGTCTGCCGCCAGGGGGTGCCACGGGCCACGGCGCACCTCCGCGCCCCCCCAACAGCGAAGATCTCGCACGCCTGCTGCTGGCCGCCGCTGCCCTGCGCCAGCTCGACGACTTCTCGCTCCCCCCTCTGCGCGTGGCTGAATATAGCACCGCGACCAAAACAGGAACCCGCACATACTGTCCTCTCTGGGAGCAACTCGTGGGGGGGAACACCTCCCCGAAGAGGCAGTGTGGATCGAGGACGTCCCCAACTGCCCGCGCGACGCCCTCCTCGGCTTCCTGGGATCGATCATCAACGAGGTCGGCTCCCTGGAGCAGGGCGGGACTCTGGACAGCTGCGCGAATGGCGCACCCTCAACACCCACGAACGTCGCGCCCTAGCCACGCGGCTGGTCCGCCAGCAGCCCAAGCCACCGCGGAACCTGACCTCCGTCGAGCGCCGACTCTGACCTGCCTGGAGCCGGGCGCTGCCCCGCTGCCATCAAGCCCAGCTCCCCTGCCGGCAGGCCTGCAGTGCCCCCTCCGCGAGAGGCGGTGTGGGCGGACCAGGAAGACGAGCCCGTCTACCCTGAGGGCCCGCCACAGCGGCACTTTCTGGTACCTATCGGAGCCACCGCCCACAACTAGGGGGCCACATGCGAACCCTACCCCTACCCCCCACGATTTCTGAGGGGGGTAGGGGTAGGGTTCGCATGTGGCCCCCTAACAACATCCAAGGTGCACCGTCGCCTGCACGGCAAGCCCCCACGGGTTCCGCCCCAGCAGAAACGGTTCGCGCACCCGTACGGCGCTGGCGCCCCGGATCCTGGCAGTTGCCCGATCCAGCTCCACCACCCACACGCGCGCGCCGCCCGTCGAGATCCCGTGAGCGCCTCGGTCCGGGACCAGGGGACAGCCAGAGCAAGCTGGCTGCACCTTGCCCGCCAGCCCGGCGCCCCTCTCGCGAGGTTGTCGTGCCGAGGTCCTACGCTGCTCCAGGCCCATCAGCCCTCCCGTCCGCCAGCGGGACCAATCAAGCGCCCCACCCGATCAACCACACGCCGCCAGCCAGGGGTCGCCCCCCCGACCCTGTGTCACCCCAGCCTCGCCCGCTCGCAACAGGGCCCCCCCCTGGGCCCCCCTGCGCCTCTGGAGCCCAGGCGTGGGGGCCCCGATCGGCGCTCGCCAAGCTTCCGCCGTGCATGACCCGTCGCGCGCAAGCCTGCGGCCCGCGGCTCGCCGTCAGCCTACGACCAATGGTGGCCAACGCCCCCAGGGACATTGCCGCCCGCTAAGACCTGATCCTGCGCATCAGCGCCACACGGGAAAGGTGCCCCTCCATGTCACAGGAGGCCGTCGCGCTCTGGCGGGACTGGTACCATGAGCACGGGTCCACCCTGCTGGGAGGGACGCACGGCGACCCCGATCTCTACACGACCGAGCAGCTCACCACCTTCCTCGACCTCGTCCCCATGTCGTGAGTGCTGGCTGCTACGCATGAGGCACAGGCGGAGAGCCCAGGCCCCCAGAGACGCGGCGCCTCTCGGGATCTTTCCCGCCCTGCTCGCCATCGCCCTCGCGGCAGTTCGAGAGTTGAGGCGCCACTGCGCTGCAGGACCACGAAAAGGCCGCCTTGCCCTGTCGGCGCAGACTGCACAATGTCCTGCTCTCGCAGCACGGCGCCCCCCAGTCCATGACTACCGCCACTGCAGTGATCCGCCCAACTGCGCACGTGCCGCGGCAGGTGGCTCCTCTCGCCGCCCCACGCAATGCACCAGCAACACTCGGGCGGGAGGGGGTCCCCCGCCCTTGATCAGCCCCGACCCATGCCGCGCGGGAGCCTCTCCGCCGGGTGGGCACTCATGCGCCCCCCTGCGGTGGCCCCAGCCCCGTCCATCGCACGCCTGGCCCCCGAAGAGGTCCCACACGGTGCCCGCCCCCCTCCTCCGTCTCCAGGGTGTGCAGAATGGTGCCGGGGCTGGACGCCAGTGCAGAAGGTCCTCGTCCACGGGGGCGATTCGGCGCCACATGCTCCCTGTCGTATCGCATGGCGCACCAACAGCGCACTTCCGTTCGCAATCAAGGCATTGGCGGCATTGGCGCCTTCCGCTCAACCTAGGTCCGCGCCACACCCGTAACGCCCGCTCGGGTTGGAGGGCCCCCTCCGAGGGATGTCTCTAGGCGGGCCGCCCAACAGGCGGCGGAGCCAGGCAGGTCGTCGTTTGCTTATTCATTGTTTTGCCGATCGGCGCGGGCCCTCGCACCCCCCCTCCCCCCCCCCGGTGGAGTAGATCCTGGCTGTTTCTGGCGCCTGTTTCAAGCAGGTGGAGCCCCCACCCCACAGGACGCACTGTTCCAAACAATCGCATTAAGCAGAGGTCTGGAGCCAGAAGCCCCCCCCCTCCCCCGCCTTCCGCCCAATGTCGAAACGCCCAAGGCGGACGCAGGTGCCTTGAGCATTCGGGCTAGCCGGCCAGCAGCACGCAGAGCGGTACGAAAGCTCCCCTGGCGCTCCGCCCCTGGCCCCCACACTTGTCGCCCTTGTCCTCGGCTGCGTGTCTTCTCGCCGCAGCCGCTCTGGCTGCACTGCGTCTCCACGTTCCACCGTGTGACGTCCTGCTGTCTGCTCCTCCACGCTCGCCGCCCATCCCAGGGCATGCGCAGGGCATGGCCGATCCCTGCGGATGCCTGCCCCACCTTCGGAATGACCGGCCGCGCGCGGTCCACTTGCTCTCTGACCGACTGTCTGCGCCCCGTCGCTGCGCCCGAGGCCGCGATCGCTAAAAAGTGCGTGTGTGTGAATGTGTGTGTGTGTGTGCTCCGCCTCGACGCTGCGCGAGAGGCCACGACTGCCAGACAAGTGTGTGTGTGTTGTGTATGTATGTATGTGTATGTGTGTGCGTGCATGCGTGTGTGTGTGAGTGCGTGTGCGCACGTGTGGTGATGTATGGCATACCAGGTATGGGAGTGTGTGAATGACTGCGTGAGTGTCTGAGTGAGGGCGAGATTCTTATTACCTGCGAAGCTCTGTCAGACCTTCAGGGCCTGTGCTTGGTCGCCAAGTTGCCAAGATGCGAACGCAAAGTCAATCCCAGGCGTGAAGTTCTGGGAGCACGGAGAGCCTGAAGTGGCCAGCAGTTGGCCAGACCATTCAGAATAATGGTAACCTGGGAGCACGAAGGGTCCAAAGTGGCTTACAACTCGCTCCAGACGCGCAAAACCAGTCCCAAGAATTGAATACTGGGAGCACGAAGAGGCCGAAATGCCTTACAAATGGCGCCTGGCATGCAAAATCAAGCCTGGGAACGAAGTTCTCGGAACACGGAAAACCCGAAGTGGCTTGCACTTGACCCCGACCACTCAAAATCAGTCCTAGGATATTCTTGGAGCGCCGAAGTGCCCTACAGTAGGCTCTGGACGAGCAAAATCAATCCCAGGAGTGGAGTTCTGGGAACGCGAAGAGCCCGACGTGGCCTACAGTTGGCTCTGGACATGCAAGATCAGGGCTGGTAGCGAAGTTCTGGGGAGTCGGAGAACCCGAACCGGCTTACAGTGGGCCACGACCATTCAAACTGAATCCCGTGAATGGAGTTTTGGGAACACGAAGAGACCGAAGTGGGCTACAGTTGGCTCTGGACATGCATCATCGACCCCGTGGCTGGAGCTGTGGGAACACGAAAAGCCCGAGGTGGCCTAAAGTTGTTTCTGGACATGCGAAGTCAATCTTGGGAGTGAAGGTCTGGCAAGTCGAAGAACACGAAATAGCCTATAGTTGGCTCCAGACGCTCTGAATCAGCACTAGGAGAATTGTTCTGGCGGCTCGATGATCACATTTTGCATGTGTTCTGATGGCCGCCTCGGATAAAAAGCATGAAGCGCGGGCCCATAGGAAAAGCGCTCCCGCCTGAGACTTCGTCGCAATTCACTCGCTGACCAAGCTCCCGCTCGAGACTGTCTCCATGTTCAAACCTCAAAGCCCCCCCATACAATGTGTGTGATATGATGATGGTGATGATGATGATGATGGTGATGGTGATGATGACGACGACGATGGTGATGGTGATGATGACGTTGACGACGATGGTGATGCTGATGCTGATGATGATGATGATGATGATGATGATGGTGATGCTTGTGATGACGATGATGGTGATGGTGACGAAGCTGATCATGCTGCTGATGATGACGATGATGATGATGATGGTTAGTGGTGGTGATGCGAATGTACGACTGCGCGAGAATGACGATGACGAGGGTAAGAAAAAGATCAGGGAGGCGGTCAGATGTTCTCTCTCCTGCGCGGAGGTGCCCAGAGAAAACCAGCAACCCACTTAGGATGTGGGGGAATCAACCAATGGTTTCGGCATGGCCCGAGCATGCGCGCGCGCGAGCGGCTCGCATGCTATTATCTGGTGCGGATCCGTGAGCATGCACCTGTGAGATCCAATCGAATGCTCCGCATAAGGACGAGGGGGGGATGCTGGGGTCATGACTAGGACTGTACGCGCCTTATGCATGCGTGTTGGGGACGAACGATCTTGCCGAAAGGGGGTGGGGGGTAAGTCGGGCCTCGGCGTGGCTCACGGGGCGTCGCTTTCGAAGATCCGTGAAATGCAACCTCTGGGGCGAGCCATGCCGACCCGTAACGGGCACCAGCCGCAGGGCGCCGACCAGAGGGCGCCAGTCATAGGGCACGGGCCACACGGCGCCAATCATGGGCCACACATCACAAGGAGCCAACCACGAGCACCTGGGCATCGTTTCACCGGTCCCTGTCCCCGCTGGCGTGGCCTGGGCCCCAACAGGCTGATTTCTCCCCCTAGATGGGGACATAGGCTGTTCCCTTCGGGTTTCGACGGGTATATTCACATCTCCAACTGGGGCGGTGTGATGGTGAGGCTGAGATGCCATGGCCCGATGGTGATGGGGATCGGTCAAAACTAACTGAGAGCCAGCCAGGAGCGAGGCCAAAACACACCGAGCGCGAACGGGCATAGAGCACCGACCGCGACACAAATGGCAACCACAAGGCACCAGACATAGAGCACCACGCGGTTACGGCCAGAGGGTACAGACTGACAACCGCTGCCTGCGGCCCCCAAGGTCAGTTCGTTAGAACGCGATAATAACCCTGAATGCACATAGTGTTCGGGTAATCTACACAAGCCTGGATGCAAATGAACATGCTGTGCCACCAATGAGAAACAACCGTGTCTGTTTACCGTGCTGCTGCAATTACTCATCGTGATACCCTCATCCTGCAAATTCTACGATACGATTACCGTCGACCGCCGGGAAACTGGTTTGTCAACTCCTTGCCGCCAGCAACGTCGTTGGTGTAGACAAGCAGCAGGCCCAAGCAATAACGACCTTCGGCAACCCCCTGTCTGCACTGCTCCGAGGTATCCTCCTCAGTCTGTTTCTCCCTGTATTCGGCGATGTGCTTGACGATCTCTATAGCCTCCTCCACTTCAACAGCTGTGATATCTTGGGATTGCTCGTCGGAGGTGTCACTGAGCCAGCCTTCAAGAAATTTTGTGTAGACCTCGACGACCTTGGCGTAGAAAGACGCCGCTCTGTCGGACTTTTCGTGGCTCTGGAACACGCGGCCCATGTGGAAGTACGAAGGTGCCGAACGGATGTTCTCGGGACCAAACTCGAGAGAGGAGTGGTATATGTCCGTGGCGAAAGCCTGCAACGCCTCCCTGTAGCGCTGCTGCGCCGCGTAGAGCCGCCCAAAATTCCGCTGCAAGTTCGACATCATCGAAGACCCAGACTGAGGATGCTTGAGGAGGTTCCAATTCGCCAGCGACAGGAATTCCTCGGCGATCTTCAGGCGCCTCGCTGTCCGACGGAGGGGCAAAGGGAGCGGGCGGCCCAGAGGAAAACACCCTGCCAGGAGGGCCGCCCCGTGGCAGGGCGGAGATACTGAGAGAAATAGAAAGAGAGAGAGAGAGAAAGCAAGAGAGAGAGAGAGAGAACCTCTTCGCCTTGCCAGACGGCCCCAGTCGGCCAAAAAAAATTCGGCCGTTTTGCGTTCGGGTGGGGGCCTGGGCACCAAGAGGTCATGTGGGAAGACACCCACGCTCGTGGAAGTCTGTCAGCAAGGCGCAGCCGACTGAACAGGGCTGCGTCCGTCAGAGGCCTCGAAGCTCCACGCCCAGGTATGCCAAACACTCAGGCACCCAAAAGCGCCTCTGACCCGGCTGCACCAGCGACTCCTGGGCTATCCGCCACCGCGTCATAAGCACTGAATGCAGTGTCCTCAGGTTCCTTGGAGCCATCAGTATGAAGTATTGAAAATCCCCCTCTCGGGACCCCAATCCCCCAACTCACTGGACTTCTGGGCGCTTCCGATTGTCGTTGGGCGCCTCCAGGGGTTGGACCGCAATCTTGTCTTGTCGGCCGTGACTGGTGCGGAGCGGAGCCCCCTCCCCCTGGATAGCCTGTCTTAAGGGGATTCGTGCTGGCCGGCACGGCCGGTGCGAACCCCCAAGACGGCCTCTGGGTGGCACGTAACGTCCTACCCACACGTCAAATGATGTGATTTGCTCAATCCGCGAGCCCCGGTGCTCCCGACCGCTTCCTGAGGAACTGCTTTTCGCCTTGCCTCCAGTTTTGTTGATGGCCGCGGGCTTCGAAAGACGGGCCCAGACATCGAATTTCAGCAAAAGCACCAGGATCGAAGCGAAAACCCGTCCTCAGGCAGCACCGCAAGCATCCTGGAAGGGCACAGCGACAAATCAGCGACGCAACAGCCGACCAGCCCGAACCGACCGAACACAACCGACTGCGACGCAGTCGAGCCCACGAAACCACTAACACGCTTTGAAACCCCAGGACGCCCTCTGAGCGACACGCAACCGCTCTGTTGGCGCCAGGCCCTGAGATCCGACGTTGAAAAACAAGTGCCACATCGCCAGAAATCACGGCCAGCCACCTCCCTGCTGCATTTTTCAAGCCAGATCGATCTGTGAGGGTTCTGGGCCCCGAATCCGGGCGAATCCGTCCGTGGTGGAAATCAATCCAACGCCTCGATCTAAGCGTTGGAAGCGCGGAGGGCCGCTGGGCGCTCAGAGGCGCCAGGGGGCCCTGTGGAGTCGTTTGAGGCCCCCTGGGGCCTGCAAAGGGGGTTCCCGGCGGCCCTGGGCGGCGAGAATAAAAAAGGAGGAAGGATTGGAAGCTGGGCGAGGGCTGGCAAATCCGTGGCTGCTAAAACGGTCTTCCCGGAAGAAAACAAACAAATTCCCGGAATCAAGCCCAGCGCACTAAATCCGCCGATCCGGCGTGTGAGTTTCAAGGAGTCTCAGCTACAGCCTCGAGGCTGAGCTTCAGCCTCTGGGGGGGTCGCCGGGGTGGCTCTGCCGGGGAAGGGGGGGTGGGGGGGGGGGGGGGGGGTGCGAGTTTCCGGCGAACCCCGGGGCCGCTCCGGGGGAGTGGAAGATAGGGGGGGGGGGGGCGCCATGCTCCGCTTTTTCCGGCGCTTTGGAGGAGGGGGGGGGCCCAAGAGACCCCCAAGGGGTTCCAAGAGGGCCCCGAGTCGCCGAAAAATCGCTCCAAGACGCCCGAGATGGCCTCCAGACGGCCCAAGGTGTCTCCAAGACGCCCCAAGAAGCTTCCAAGAGGCCTCCCAAGAGGGCCCCAAGAGGCCAGAATCGTTGATTTTCATTGGTTTTCTCAGGGTTTTTAGCGTTCTTGCCTTTTCGGGCGTCCGACGCTCGAAGACGGCCCAAGAGGCCCCCAAGTCCGTCCCAAGACGGCCCACGATGCTTCCAACACGGCCCAAGAGAGCCCCAAGACGGCCCAAGAGGGCCCCAAGACGGCCCAAGAGGGCCTCTGGACAGCCCAAGAAGGCCCCAAGAGAGCCCCAAGAGGGGCCCAAGAGGGGGACCACGAACCGAAAGAACCGAGCTTTCCGCCCCAAGAGGCCCCCAGGAGGCCCCAAGAGACCCCCAAGGGGCCCCAAGAAGCCCACAAGAGGCCCAAAAGAGGTTCCAAGAGGCCCCAAAACAGCTCCCCAGAGGCCTCCAGACTGCCTCCGGCAGGCCCCCGGTTTCTTCCGCGGCACCGCCCAGGGCGCCACCGGCAGGATGTCCTCCGTCTCATCGTTTTCCTTCAAGTTATCGCCTCTTCCTCATTCTCCTCCTCCTCCTCTGCGACCTCACTCCTATCCCTCAACGATCGCGTCACCGAGTGCCTCTTCTTTGAAACATCCTCGCTCTTCAAACGCACATCCATACACACATGCATACATACCTACATTTAAACACATTTGCATACATAGAAAAACAATCTTCCAGACATACATACTTACATTCACACACATACACACATATTATCATACACACATACAAACATACATACAAACTAAATACATACATACGCGCACAAGCATACATACATACATACGTACCTACACACAGGCACACATGATCAATGCATGCATACATGCATGCACGCGTACATACACACACATATATCGTGAAACTCACCGCGTGCTCGAAACTTGAGAGAGACCGCGGGAAGTCGAGAGAAGCCGCGGAACGAGGCCTCTACTACTACTACCACTACTACCACAACCACTACTACTACTACTACTACCACTACTACTACTACTACTACTACTACTACTACTGCTACTACTACTACTACTACTACTACTACTACTACTACTACTAGTACTACAGGAGCGTTTCCCAACTAGTATGTGTGTGTGGGTGATGCTGTGTGCGCATGTCTGCGGCGCAGGTTAAGTGGTGTGACTGTGTGTGTGCGTTTGAGTGTGCGCCCATAATTTCTGCGTCTGGAGAATAACCCCGAGCGACCCGGATCGGCGGCACTGGCCGAAGGCCACTACAATAGTAAACGGGCTGCTTCCCAGAAGAAAAAAACGATTACCCGGAGCTCCGTTTTAGCAGCCACGGGTTTGCCAGCCTTCGCCCGGCTTCTGAATGAGATCGCCATGAAAGAAGCGGGGGCGTCCAACAGGGGGCCGTCCAAAAGTGGGGCTCGCAAGCCAGTGTCCAAGGCACCTGCGTGGACGACGGGGGGCTCTAGGAAACGGCTCGAAACAAGGAAAGGGTGCCCTGAGATCTAGGGAGACCCCGTGGCCCTCGCCATGAAATCTCCCTCCCCCCGTCTCAAGGCTCCCGACCCCACCAAGCCGGAAAAAACTGTTTGACTGTCTTCGGCTTCTGGAGATCCTCTCCCTGGCCCCAGGACCGTCAGCAAAACTGCTCAGGGTGAGGAGCTGAGCCTGGGGACAATTGGCCGGGGGTCTGAGCCTATTCGGCCGTCGAGTAGGCCATGGGATTGAGCCCGTTCGGCGGCCGAACGGACCAACTGCGCCCTTCGGGATTTAGCACGTTCGCCGGCCCATTCGGCGGCCGAGTGGGCTCAGAGGCCGTGCGGGCCCAGAAAAGAGCCCTGGGGGAGAGGGAGCAACTGCGAGGGATGGAGGATGGATGAGTAGGGATGCGGAAGGAGGAGGAGGGAGGGGGAAACGGGGGGAGGAGGAGAGGGATGAGACATGTACGAATGAGGGGGAGCAGGTGTCGGACAGAGGGAGGAGATGGAGGAGGGAGGGGCAGGGACGGGAAAGAGAGAGAAAAATAAACATAATAAAGAGAAGCCCTATGATAGATGCGCTGGCGATTACGTCCGCTCCGTGCCCCGCATACCCGCCCATGCCGCACTCCGATAAATGGAAAGGGTTCGGGGTCGTCGGCGGCACCCGATGCGACCAGCTCTCCCCAGGAGAAAGGGGGGCTTTCGTGCCGCCGGGCACCGCCGACGTGCATGCCCCTTTCACCTCGCCCCCCTGGACCAGAGCTTTCCCCGTGCAGCGGGTCGGAAGGCCTCAGGCCAAGGTTCGCCTCTGCCAGCAGCAGGTAGGAGGGCACCAGCTCGCTCGCCTCGTTGCCGTAGACCTGGGCGGCGTCTTCCGTCGCTCATGCGTGTCTTCACTGCCTGCCTCCACACACGCGCACACACGCACACACACACCCTCGTCCATCCCCTTCATCCCCATGTTGTTGGTCAACCTTCCCGTGGAATTTGGTCCTGGATTGTTCTTCACTGCTTCGCGCACCTGCTTTCTCTTCCATCCGTTCTCCCCCTCTCACCCTCTCCGCCGCTGCTGCGCTGCCCGCTGCTCGGCACATGTCTCGCGCGTCTCGCGCCTCGTAAGGTCGAGAGAATCATCCCTGGCCCGTGTACTGGATATGATTTGAACTATGGCATTGGGGGGTTCCCATGTGAACGGAAACCGACTCAGGTGAGCTGGCCAGAAGGCGCTCCACGGCAGGCACGATGATGATTGTAGCGATGCTTGTGACGACGATGGCGATGACGATAGCAAAGAACCAATGACGGAGCCGATGCTGATCACGCCGATGACGATGATGGTGTCCAAGTGTCGGTGATGAAAATTGGCAGGTTTCGAAATGAGCGCGCGGCGGACGGGCGAAAGTGGCCCGCATGGTATTACTTGACAGGGATCGTAACTCCCCAATGCGCGCGCAAAAGCGTTCGGATGATTTCGACATGCGCGCGCGAGAGCTAAGTCGTATGCGATGAACACGTTGAACAACCGATGGTTTCCCTATGAATTCGAAAGAGCGGACGCCGACCTTTTGGGACAGTTCATGGTACAATACCATTGGTATCTTAAAACAACTTCGGGACACTCGATGTTGAAATCCCGCCGGAACTGAAGGTTTCTTAACAATTCCTGCATGCGCGCGCGACGACCTTCTCGTGTGCACTTCGTCCCATTGGGTTTGCAAGGGGTTCTTGCGAATCTTTGATTTGTGATCAACGAATGTGCGCGCACAGTGCTTTTCTGCAATGGATGAGGGGGGGTCGATGCCGGCTGGGCTGGGCTGGTATCCGTTCAAATCTGAAACGAACAATGGGGCAGAATCGTATCTAAATTGCACATCCCCCGGGGGGGAATCTGGCCTCTGGTGGTGGATCCCAGTTCAGTGCTGGAAGAGAGGGCATATGTTGTCACTCTTTTGTGGTGCAGCGCATGTTGTACAACGTATGCGGTGCAATGTATGTTTCGCAAGCTATGTGGTGCAGTCTAAGTGGTGCAAGTAATTCCTGTTCGCAATGAGTTGCCCACTCCACTGCTCGCGCAACCATCTCACCCATCCGCCCGCAACTTGGTTTGCAAAACCCATGCGGCGGCGATTGCGATGAGTGCTCGGTGCTGGCTCTGGCTGGGGCATCTCTGCGGTCGCGCTAGCCCGCGAATGCTCGCGCGCGCAGTTGCCAGACAGTTTGGCGCTGCCGACGCGGCCATGGTGGCGCTGACCGCTGGGCACTTCCCAGCGGGCACTTCATCAGTGCGAGTCGGTGACTTGGGCCGGCGCGGTGCCATGGCAACGTCGACAAGGGTTGACGCGATGATGATGGTAGCGACGCTGGTGACAATGATGACAACGACGACAGCAAGGCCAACGACGGCGCCGATGCATTTCGCGCCGACAGCGATGACGGCGCCCTCGCGTCGGCGATGAAGGTTTTGGAGAGAGTTCGACATGCGCGCGCGGCCGACGCGCGAGAGTGGCCCGCATGGTATCATTTGACACGAATCGTGCCCCCACAAGCACGCGCGCAAGGGCATTCGAATGATTTCGACGTGCGGCGCGAGGGAGCCGTTTGGCAGAATGCACTGGAACTGTTGAAAAACCAATGAGTTTCTTAAGAATTCACACGAGCGCGAGCGCAGGCATTTTTGAGAACTGCTGCTGCACAACCATATGTTGTTCCCAACCATTCTGTGGTGTTGGGTCCTCGTTCCCCACATCCAAAGTGGGGGTTCTTGCTTTCTCTGGACACCCCGCGCAGGAACAGGAACCCACCATCATCATCATCATCACTCATTCCTACTCACTCACTCACTCACTCACTCACTCACTGATTCATCAGCACTCACTCACTCACTCACACGCTCATGAACTCACATATGATGATGATGATGATGATGATGATGATGATGATGATGATGATGATGATGATGATGATGATGATGAGTGTGCGCGTGAGAGAATGCGATGGTCATCATCATCACCAGTCAGTCAGTCAGTCAGTCAGTCAGTCATTCACTCACTCACTCACTCACTCGCTTTGGGCCTCGCCTGTGAGTGAACTGCTGGGAAATCTCAAGCGGGAGCCCCCTCCGTATGGGGCCCGCGGATCATGTTACTAATCCGAGCGGGTCATCCAATTCCTTTCACTGTCGCCACTTTTTGGCTCTCGCGCTGCCAGAACGCCATTCCCAGGCCATATTTGTGAGTGAATTGCAAGGAAGTCTCAAGCGGGAGCCCCCTCTCTATGGGGCCCGCGGATCATGTTAGTAATCCGAGCGGGCCATCCGATTCCTTTCACTGTCGCCACTTTGGGGCTCTCGCGCTGCCAGAACGCCACTCCCAGGCTACATTTGTGAGTGAATTGCAAGGAAGTCTCAAGCGGGAGCCCCCTCCCTATGGGGCCCGCGGATGATGTTAGTAATCCGAGCGGGTCATCCAATTCCTATAACTGTCGCCACTTTTGGGCTCTCGCGCTGCCAGAACGCCATTCCCAGTCTACATTTTGAATGCCCGGAGCCAACTGTAAGCCACTTCGTGTTCTTCGTGCTCCCAGAACACCATTCCCGGGCCACCTTTTGAATGCCCGGAGCCAACTGTAAGCCACTTCGTGTTCTTCGTGTTCCCAGAACAGCACTCCGGGGCCACTTTCTGAATGTCCGGAGCCAAAACAGGAGGGCGAGGTCGGGGGCAACGTAGGGAGCGGGGGGAGGGCCCGCCCCAGGGCGAGAAGAAATATACGCAGAATCGAAGAGACAGCCAGGACGCCTCACCAACCTCGAGGACGACGGTGAGGGCTTTTTCCAGATTCGCCCAGAGGATTCTCATGTGGGGTCCTTCCGTCGGAGTAATTATTTAAGAGACAGCGCCCCGCGTTCTCCTTTCCTCCTCCTCCTCCTCCGCCTCCCCCTCCTCCCTCCTCCTTCTGTGGCCCCACAGGGAGCTCCACCGAAGGCCCCAATGGCAAAGTTCGCATGCGGTTCCGCCCCCATTTTGGCACAACGCTCACACTGTTCGTGGCCCCATAGGGAGCTCCACCGAAGGCCCCAGTGGCAGGGTCCGCGTGCAGTTCCACCCCAATTTCGGCGCAACACTCACACGTTTCGAGGCCCCATAGGGAGCTTCACCGAAGGCCCCAGAGGCAAAGTTCGCATGCGGTTCCACCTCCATTGCGGCCATCCCTCATGCGGTTCGTGGACCCATAGGGAGCTCCACCGAAGGCCCCAGTGGCAGAGGCGTGCAGTTCCACCCCCACTTCGGCATACCCCTTTCACGCTCTGTGGCCGCATAGGGAGCTCCACCGAAGGCCCCACTGGCAAAGTTCGCAAGCGGTTCCACCCCCATTTCGGCGCACCCCTCACGCGGTTCGGAGCCATATAGGGAGCTCCACCGAAGGCCCCAATGGAATGGCAACGTTCGCATGCGGTTCCACCTCCATTTTGGCACAAACCTCACACGGTTCGTGGCCCCATAGGGAGCTCCACCGAAGGCCCCAGTGGCAAAATTCGCATACGGTTCCACCCCCATTGTAGCACACCCTCACACGTTTCGTGGCCCCATCGGGAGCTCCACCGGAGACGATACTCACAACTGCGGCACCCACTATGCATATGGTTGGGTCCTTCGCCAGGCTGATCTTATATTTTTCGGGGCACGTTTGAAACCCTTACGAAACTTTAAGTTTTTGAGGGATTCCGACATGCGCGCGCGGCGACGCGCGCGCGTGCGCTCCGTCCCCTTTTTTTTGCCAGGGATTCTTGCGACATCACGCGATTCCGACATACGCGCTCGAGACGCCCGTTTGGTAGCAAGTTGTGATCAACGTTGGAAAACTAACGGTTTTCGTAAGAATTCGCTAGAACCCGAACGCAAGGTTTGTTTGAGCATTCTTGTTGCGATACCAGACGTGCGCATATGTTTTCGCAAAACTCGATTTGAAACCCTTACGGGGCCGAAACTAGTTTTGAAGATTTCGGCGCGCGCGCGCGACAACGCGCACGCGCACTGCGTCCCATCTTTGGCACGGGATTCTTGAAAACTGATGATTTTTGATGAACGAGTACGCGCGTATGTATTTTTTGGCAGAGGATGAAAAGGGGGAGCGGTTACCGGCCTGGCTGGGATGGTATGAACTCATATTTACGTTGGATGGACGATGGGGCAGAATCATGTGCAAATTGCAATACGCAAAGGGGGGAGTTAAATCTGGAGGGGGGGGGTCGATCCTAATATTCGTATCATCTGTAAATTCGGGAAGATACTGCAATGCAGCGCACGGAAAGCTCTTCGGGTGCCCGGGGGCTGTCGGCGCGCGCGAGCTGTGCCGCAAGCCGTCAGGGCAGAGGGTTGTCAATTCGACACCTCGCCATCGCTCGGACGTCCATCCTCCGTGTATTTTTGAGTTTCGCGCGCGTGTTTTTCGCAAGATGACCTCAAATGAACCTTGATTGTCCTAGCCGAGAACAAATGCACACGTCCGACGGATGCCAAGACAGCATCTCGCCGTGGGGACTGCGATCTGGCTTCTCGGACTCCGAAAAGAAATCACGCGAGCGAGGAACCCCACATACTTACTTTATGTTGAATGGGTAGCATTTGTACTATTACTACTACTGCTACTACTACTACTACTACTACTACTACTACTGCTACTACTACTACTACTACTACGACTACTACTACTACTACTGCTACTACTGCTACTACGACGACTACTACTACTACTACTTCAACTACGACTGCGACTATTACGACGACGACTATTACTACTACTACTACTACTACTACTACTACTACTACTACTACTCCTACTACTACTGCTACTACTACTACTA